CCCTCCCCACCTCACCCTCCCCATCCAGACTGTGGTGTATGAGGGCAAGCTGAGCAGCCTCCGTCGTGTGAAGGATATCGTGGAGGAGGTGTCCGCGGGTTTGGAGTGCGGAGTGGGCTGCGACGGCTTCGCGGAGTGGGCTGAGGGCGACGTGTTGGAGTGCTACCTGCTGGTGACCAAGAGCCGGCGGCTGGAGGACGCGCGGGCCACCACCGCAGTGGATGTGGCCTCCCTACAGTGAAGGGGTTAGGGGGGAAGGAGGATGGAGAAAAGGAGGGGGGAGAAGAGGACGAGGAGTGATAGTATTCATGGAGGTGGAGGTGGAGGTGGAGGTGGCGGCGGCGGCGGCGGAGGTGATGCTTGGAGTTGGGGATGCATTGGGGGTGAGATGGTGGGGGTGTAGGAGGAGGTAGAGGTGGGGAGGTGTGCGTATGTGTGTGTGTGTGAGAGAGAGTGGGAGGTATATAGGAAGAGGGAGAATGAGGCGCCCTTTGCCCTTTGGGAGGGATGTGAGCTCTGGGGGGGTGCTGGGGGTGGTGCTAATGGTGTTAGGAGAGGAGGTGGTGGGGGTGGGGGTTCTGGCTGCCGGCGGTGCGTCAGATGCAACACTGGGCGTTTCTTTGGATTGCGGGGCTGGGTGGATTGTGGGGCTTGACAGGCATGGGGGTCGAAACCCGCGAGGTCTCTTAGCTTGTTTGTTGAATCTGTATGTTTTTCCGGTCCGCGTGTTTGTGTGTGTGTGTGTTTGTCCGGTTAGTTGTCTGTCGGGTCTAGGCCAGCTGCTTTTCGGAGAGGGAGAGCCGGAGGGGCCGAATGAGGGCTCTGGATGTTTGGCTCGGATGAGGGTTAGGTGGTGTGTGGAGGTGTGTGGAGGTGTGTGGAGGTGTGTGGAGGTGTGTGGAGGAGGGCAGGGGGTCACAGAGGGGCCCCGGGGGTTCGGTGCCGTCATTCACCACTACCACCACTACCAATATCATAACACGTTCAGAGGCCGAGGGCCCCTCCTCTCGCCTACAGCTTTTCTAAAGAGTCGCGTTTTTGAAGTTTCGGTTTATGGATGGATGGATGAAGATGATGATGATGATGATGATGATGATGATGATGATGATGATGATGATGATGATGATGATGATGATGATGATGACCAGGGACTACTAGCTGTAAGTTTGTGCATGTTTGTTTTGCGTCTCTTCTTGCTGCGCTGCTGCTGCTGCTGCTGCTGACGATGACACTGTTCCTGCGGTTAACCGATAATGATGCTGATGATCGTAAAAGTTATGGAATGATGGCGGGAGGATACGTGGTGATAGTGGTGGTGGTGGTGGCGGTGGTGGTGCTCCGCTGCGGATGGAGGCCGAGATGGGCGGCAAGATGACCTCCCGGGCAGGCTCGGTCTTGGCCGCGGGTGCGGGTGCTGGTGGGGGTGGGGGTGCGTCTTCGGTCGTTCTTGCGTCCAGCTGTCCTGGCTAGTTTGTTTGTTTCGTTTGGAGGCATCCACCGGTGGTGGTGGTGGTGGTGGTGGTGCTTGAGGTGATGGTGGTGGTCTCTTGAATCCTTTTCCTCTCTCTTGCTACAGTGGGGGGTCGGGACGGCGGCGGGGGGGGGAGCGATCGGGAAAAAAAGTGGGTGGGGGGGGTCCGAAGAAGGAGAATTCGCGTTGCTCCAGGGTGGCGAAAGAAAGCAGTAGTCGCGGAGGCTGTAGCAGAGAGAGCAGCAGCGGAGGTGAAGCACGGCAGTCCCAACAGGTTGGGTGGTGAAGGCCGCGTAGAGGAAAAACGTATTATGAAAAAACATATTATAAACAAGTCCAGACGGCGTCCGGAGTGCTGCTGATTACCAATATTGAGAAAGCTTTCAGAGCGGCCACCGTAGACAGGAAACTTTAGGAAGAAATTAAGGAGATGAAGCCAAGGGGTGCCAAAGGGGCTACCCTTCAGGGGAAGACAACCCTTCTTGCGCCCTTCTTTGGCCCCCCATGGGGACGACAAACAAAGGGGGACACAAAGCCTCCCCTGGTTTCTCCGAAGGGCGACACAAAGTAGAGGGTTTTCATCCCCCAAAGGTTCCCCAAAGGGGATGAAACCCTAGTTGACGAAGAAGTTTGACCCTTAAGGGAATGACGTCATCCCCTGTAAGGAACCTGAAGGGTGGGCCCCCCCCTCGTTCTTCATCCCCCTTAGGGGAAGAACTAAAGGGGGTGGAAACCAAACGGGGGAACCGAAGGGGATAACAAGGAGCCCAATTCCAAAACAAACCGTGTTAGGCCTCCGCCCGAAACTACCAGCCAGGTGCTCCGCACTATTGTTACAGCACGTGGAAGGCCCCACTGGAGGTCCAACTAGAACGTAACCATGACGACAGCGTAAGTTACTTGTTGAGGACTCCAGTCTATATTTCCTTTGCTTGATGCGGTGTATTGCGCACACTTCACTCGTCTCTTTCCTCTTCCTCGTGTGCAGGCCCTCCCTCTCTTCCCCCTTGGTGTGGTGTGGGGTCATAATGTGTATGTATGTATGTATGCTGCTGCGGAAATATGAAAAGCCCCGCATTCCCCCACGCCGTGGGGAAGTCGATTAAAAGTCGCGGTCTCATTTTCATCTAACGACTCCTTCCTACCACCAAGCAAGTCAGTCATTCAGTTTCAGTTATTTAATCCGTTAGCCCAAAGTAATTATAACCACCAACCGCTCCGCAGGCGATTTAGTTCCGTAAATCCCCCCCCCACACACGCACATACATACATACACACACATACAAGAGCCACAACCACTCCAAACATCTGAAGAGGGTAACGCTACGTTAAGAGTTCAATCAAACTATGACTGTACGGCTATGCCGTGCGCACACGCACACACACACACACACACACCATCAGTACCGTTTCCATGACTGCACCATTACCCTCCTCCACACCTCTCTGTACGTTGTCGACTTCGGGCTCTCCCCCCACCACTTCCCCCTTCCCCCCTTTCGACCTGACCAACACCGGCCGACATGACCGTACATTGTACAACAACGGCAAAACACACACAGCCGCTGCCGGTTATGCTGTACGGCAACTGGCATGCTGGGCTTGGGAGACACCGATGCTGACATGTAGTCGATCACCAAGTGACAATGCCGTACACTGGCATGCACACAGCCGTATACATACGCAGCCACGCAGACATGTCCATGCAAAACCCGTGTAATGGTCACTGTGTCGCTCTCCCCCCCTCCCGCATCCCCTCCAGGGCCCCGGTCGACATCATCCCCTCCCAGTCCGGCTGCAACTGCTTAAGTAAGGAGGTATGTATGTCTGTATATATATGAATACGTCTACCCATTCTTCCCGTTATTACAAACCCCAGTCCCGGTTTGAAAAGGAACACACACACACACACG